AGCTCACAATCTACGAAATTTTAACCTCTGCAACATGTGTGCTTTTAGGATTGTTTTATTTTTATTCATCTATTTTCTTTTTGCCAAAGTTTGTAGTGGAAAATGCTATAATGCTATTTCCTAATTTAAGTCTCTGGTTGTTATTTTGGAACTGAAAAGAAACGAGAATACAAGAGAAATCAAAAAAGTAATAATAATAATAATAATAATTTTATGGTAATTTAAAATGCACACAGACAGAACAATCGAATCGTGATCAAAGACCACAAGAACAGAATGCGCTTTCTTATCAATATGACAGTTCCTGCAGTTTGCAATGTATATTTGAAGATCTTCAAGAAACTATCAAAATACAATGTTCGTGAAGTGGAAATCTAAAAGATGTGGCACATGAAGACATGAATAATTCTAGTTTTATTTGGAAAAGATTACAATATTCTCATTGAATGGATTCCTGTTTGTCCATAGCTTAAAGAAATACAAGCGGTTGTACTCATAAGTACAGTTTTATCTACGTAAAAATGTGTGATCCTAGGTTTTATTTATTTTTTTTATAAAAAATGATCAGTCGAAAATGTCATGAAGCCATTTCTAACCATATGCATCTGGTTTGAACCCGAAGGAAATGTGTATGCAACAGAAATCCAAGGTTAAAATAATACTAATACTAAAATAATAATAATAATAATAATAATAATAATCTGCAATTTCTCCGGGAAGGAAACTGAAAGAAACTGGTATGAACACAACCCAGACCCGGTTACGGAGATAGGACCTGTTACAATTCTATGGGACTACACAATACACACTGACAGAACAATCAAGGCCAACCGGCCAGATATTGTTATTAAAGACCACAAACAAAAACGGTGCCTCCTTATTGATATGGCAGTCCCTGCTGACTGCAATATATCATTGAAGATATTCAAAAAGCTGTCAAAATACAAGGACCTTGAAATAGAAATCTCAAAAATGTGGCATATGGGAACATCAACAATCCCTGTTGTAGTTGGAGCCCTAGGACTAGAAAAGATTCCACCAGACTAATTGAAGGGATTCCTGGAAGTCCATGCCTCAAGGAGATATAAAAAATTGTTCTGACAAGTACAGCTCACACTTTACGAACGGCTTTATCTATGTAATATTTTTTTGTCAGTGGAAAGTGTTATGATGCCATTTCTAACCTTAGGTCCCTGGGTGGGACCCGGAAAGAAATGTGTAAACGCCAGAAATCAAAGAAAATAATAATAATAATAATAATAATAATAATAATAATAATAATAAGAAACACCCTTAATAGACTTAGATTTTGTCACAAAGATTAGGGAACTGGAGCATAATGAAGCTTATAAGTACCTAGGAATTAGCGAAGGAGATGGCATACAACACCCCCAAATGAAGAAAATAAGAAAAGAGTACTACAGGCGTGTACGTCTGGTACTAAATACTGAGCTAAACTCAAAAAACAGGATATCAGCCATAAACACATTGGCTGTCCCTGTGGTGCCATACAGCTTTAATGTCCTTAACTGGACCATAGCTGAAATTAAGCGAATGGATGCCAAAACGAGAAAGCTTCTCACTTGCTATCGCATGCATCATCCCAAAGCTGATGTTGATCGTCTGTATGTGCCCAGATCCGAAGGAGGCAGAGGATTAGTTCAACTAGAACTGTCCTACAAAACTACAACAATTGGCTTCCAAAGATACTTGGAAACTACAGAAGACTGGATGATGGTATGCGTCAAGGAACATGAAAGTAGTAAGCGTCTTTACTCCGTAATGAAAGAAGTCAACATATTCAAAATGGAGTTTCAAATGGGCGTAGAGATGCAACTACAGCACAATACACCAACTGAAACTGCAAAATACCTAAAAAAGACATCAAAGACAAATGCAACCGACCAGATACAGAAGCGATGGCAAGATAAACCGCTTCATGGCCAATACTCTGCCCGTACCAAACAAGCTGACGTAGACAAAACCCGTACCCATCAGTGGCTACGTAGTGTAGGTTTGAAAGCGGAAACTGAAGGTTTTATCCTTGCTGCGCAGGACCAATGCTTGCTAACTAGGAATTATCAAGCATATATACTAAAATATTGTGTCAGCCCAAAATGCAGATTCTGTGATAAATATCCAGAAACGATTGATCATCTTGTATCAGGTTGCACAGTGTTGGCACCCACTGAATATAAAACCCGACATTACAGAGTGGGCCAATATCTGCACTGGAAAATCTGCAACTTCTACGGGAAGGAAACTGAAAGAAACTGGTATGAACACCACCCAGACCCAGTTACGGAGATAGGACCTGTTACAATTCTATGGGACTACACAATGCACACTGACAGAACAATCAAAGCCAACCGCCCAGATATTGTTATTAAAGACCACAAACAAAAACGGTGCCACCTTATTGATATGGCAGTCCCTGCTGACTGCAATGTATCTTTGAAGATATTCAAAAAGTTGTCAAAATACAAGGACCTTGAAATAGAAATCTAAAAAATGTGGCACATGGGAACATCAACAATCCCTGTTGTAGTTGGAGCGCTATGACTGGTTGGAAAAGATTGCAGTAGACTAATTGAAGGGATTCCTGGAAGTCCATGCCTCAACGAGATACAAAAAATTGTTCTGACAAGTACCGCCCACACCTTACGAATGGCTTTATCTATGTAATTTAATTATTTTTTTTTTGTCAGTGGAAAGTGTCATGAGCGGGACCCGGAAAGAAATGTGTAAACGCCAGAAATCAAAGAAAATAAAAATAATAATAATAATAATAATAATTATTATTATTTTAAGAAAATGTGAAATGTGAGGGGCGATATAGTTTCAGAAGATTTCGAGAATAAGAAATGGAAGATCCTCACACAAACGGTCGAGATTCTTGGGAATGGACTTTGCAAGAGAGAAATGTGTAATTTTTCTGATGAAGAAAGATACAAATAAAATAACAGAATCCGTAAAAGCAACCAGTTAACAGAAGAGAGTCAAAAAGAAAGAAAGAAATGTTAATCTTCTGGGAGTGGATTGGATCAAATAAAAGCAAATGAATAAAATTCAACAATAATATTTCAGAAGTACAAGACAAAATAACAAAGAAAGACCTTAATCTGAATGTGAGTAAATGAATAAATATATGTGTCAAGTAAGATTAATATATATTCAAGATCCGTTATGAAATTGCACAAGAGAAGAATTCAGAAATATGGATCAGGAAATAATAGATGACAATGCATACATCTTAGCGTCAGATACAAAAGTTGACAGGCAGAAAGCTTCAGATCTATACAAAGAAGATAAGAAAAGGTTAATTACAACAGCTAAAAATTATCTAAGAATTAATTGGAAGATAAAAGACCAAGTAACAGGTCATTAAGGAGAAAGCGAAAGTAATTGGAAATCCGAAGAAGAACCAAGATTATCCAAATAATATGATTACCGGGGAATTCTCAGTCGAGTGCTTAAATACTGAACAGACTTGTGCCTCTTCATTCCATTAAGAAAACGTTAGTTTTTAATAGCGGGAAAACTTAAAATATGAAAAAAATTCTTTGAAGTACAAACTATTTACCTGCTCTTGAACAAAAGACTAAATCTCTTTATTATAAATAAGAAGAAATAAAATCTGCCAGAAAGTAGATTAATCCGTTTTCTCATTGGGAATAATGGCCATGACAATGACATCTATTGTTATTTACGTCTAAGGACCAATCTATAAAAATATGTTTAAATATATAACATGTTCCTTCGATACGCAGGTGATCAGGGATCTACAGATTAATTTTCTTTGATAAACGTATGAATCCATCTCCTTTTCCCAGTTATGGATTAAATAACAAAGGCGACTCTCTAATCTTGTATGGCAACCAGTCTAGAAAAAAAACAACTACTTTTAAAAAGCGTGGAAAAAGCAACGTGAAAGCACTACCTTTCCAAGAAACGCCTGCCAGAAATCATGTCAAGAGATTAAAATTACAAAATTTGAGCAAGTGTCAAAGTTATCAAGACGATAATATCGGCAAAATCAACAAGAATAGTACGAAAAATTTTGAAATTTGGTGGGTCGATTTACTTTCACTTGATCTCCGAACAAAGTCACTTGTAGAAACACGAGGAGAACAAAAAATAAAAATTCTCTTTTGATACCAACGTATCTAGAAAAATATGTCGATATTTACAGTTTCTTTATCAGTTCCTTTATTTTTCTTATTTTATTTGCTAGGAAGTTTGAGTAACCTATCCGTGAGTCAATCCATCAATTACATTTAAGTACACAAGTAACACAATGTTTTCTTAATCTTAACCTTTTAATAGAATCTCGAGCCAGCATAAACTCCTGACTTTATCAGTTGTTTAGTGCTTACGATAACGTCTACAGGATTTTCAAAACGTGATCTTCTCAAATGCCTCGTTGTCAAGGCAGACTGATATTCAACCCATCATGCCAATATTAGCAGCATTCAACTAACGACCATTTTCGCAAGTATATGTAATCTCTATTCGTGATTGTCTCTTTTGTTGATGGCCTGTTGAATTCTCATATTAATTAATGAAACATTTTAGCGCTAAACTGCTTAGCACAGAGATTGAACTCGTTATCTTACAGCTTCAATTGGACGGACAACAAAACACAGATTTTCATCCATGTGGTTTTTATCCAATTATCGAATGCATTACTGATATGGTGAAAACCGGAGACTGAACCGGTCAAACTGTCGTGATAATGTATCCAAAAGACATCATTGAGTCGTGAACTAAGCTCTTTTAGGATAGTAGAACAGCTTAAAAGAATGTTGGCTTAACCTGTATAATTTAAGTAAGATAAGCTATATACAAGAGATGTCGACGAAAATGTAAAAACAAGAATAATACAATATATATATATATATATATATATATATATATATATATATATATATATATATATATATATATATATATATATATATATATAGGAAAAAGACAGAAAGTGTGGAACATTTTAAGAC